GGGGGGGGGGGGGGGGGGGGGGGGGGGGGGGGGGGGGGGGGGGGGGGGGGGGGGGGGGGGGGGGGGGGGGGGGGGGGGGGGGGGGGGGGGGATGCGGAGGCGAAAGCTAGCGCTGACGGATGCGGACCACCGTTGGTTTCGTTATTTCTCCTTCACCTGCAGCTTGCTATGCTACACTCCCAGCTAAAGATCGTGGCGGCTGCACCCGTTCAAACGTTCTTGTCTTGACCTTGTCCTGACGTTGTTGAGGGACCCCTACTCCCCATTCGGTACCCTGATCTATCATCCTCATGCAACTGGCGAAGAAGCGAACCCCGTGGAACACGAGCCAAAAACCCAAGCAAGGTGGTACTTTTCATCCAATCCAGTACAATGATCCTCGGTACGGAGAAATGATAACACAGTACAAAACAAAAAATACAAAGAAACAGAGAAAAGCCCGAATGGAGGAGAACAAAATTATAACCTGGGGATAAAATTGATTGCACTCGACGAGCAGATGGAGCACGGCGTGGTGGTGACCAAGTACGGCAAGAAGGGCGCGGCGGCTCAGCGGCTTCTCTACCTGGACGGCGTGTCGATGTCGGTGGCTTGGCGCGACCTCGACGCCCGTTCCCCGGGGCACAGCCGATCGAGTTCGCTCACCAACATCGTCAAGGGGAAGAGGGAGGCGTTGGCGCTCGCGCACCTCCTCGAGGTCGGTTTTTAACTCCTGCCTGGCGCGAGCGTGGGTCTCCATGCAGTTGTGTTGATCTCAGGGTGGTCCCTGATTGGGACGTTGCGACGGGTGTTCTGGTGACCGGGTGCGTTTTTGTGTAGCGGGGCCAGAAACGAACTGTACAGCCAACCGTCGAGGAAGCACCACCGCGCCCACGACAAGCACCACGACAAGCACCACAGCCACCACCACCGCCGCCACAACCAATACTTGTTGAAGGGCGGCGGCGCCACTCCTAGCCCCTCAGCCCTCCCCCCCCTCTTTGCTGCGCACCGGGCCGCTACGATTTGCCGTCTGTACCGTTTTGATGATAGATTGGGGTGACGACAACGGAAATTCCGCCAAACATGGCTTGCCTCAATCAGGCGTTTGCACCACTCACACCTCCCTCCCTCCCGACATACGTGTTTGATGACGAGTGCAGGTTATAGCTGGTGACGACCCTGACCCCACGAGACCGTCAGAGAAGGGCTCGGCGATGCTCCGTGAGCACTGCGACGAGAGCCTTCTAGAGCGAAGCTTCGCCTTGCAGTTCAAAGAGCGATCTCTGGAGGTGAGAGATGGGACGTGCTTGGTCCTACAATCTGGTGCCCTTGAGCGGGCGCCCAGGTGCCCACCCGGTTCGTTTGGGCCGCAGTTCTGCTGTCCGGGGAGGTAATCCTGAAGCGTGGCTGGATGTTCGTTGGTGGCCAACTGCCAGAAGCGCTTCGTTCAAAAAAGCATACTTCTATACATATACCCAACATCGATGATACAGTAGTGTCTTACCGCATAGGAAGGGGGCAAACTGGTGTCGTGTGGCAACTACTGTACATAGACAGCCCCCGCCCCCCACCCAATCGCTATTTTTAGAGATCGTGCAATGTTGTGCGTAGACCGTTTGTCCATTGCCGACACGGACATACACAAACGTGCGATGTTCAGCACAACGCCAACGTAAAATGCTCGATGCTGTCCGGGACCGTTGTAGCTTAGGATCGTTCCGCGCCCGCCCGTGTTTGTTACTAAGATTTTTGTCATAAATATCATGTTACCAACAAATCCGCTTCCACCACGCCCTAACAACTGGCGCCATGCCTTCTTTTCTTCATTTCAGATGACCTGCGACAGCCACGTCGAGATGCGCCAGCTTGTGGCTGGTTTCCGTGACCTCCAGAAGCAATACGGGCGGTGATTGAGTGACCCCCCCCCCCCCCCCCCCCCCNCCCCCCCCCCCCCGTTATCACCTACTTGAACACGGAAAGCGGCTTTCCACGCATGTTTTGTGTTGAGGGCGTGGCACGTTCGTCAGGGTTTGGCACCAGCGCTGTCGCAAAGCGATGTAGTTTGCAGACCATTGCACCAGAGAAGAAGTGGTTCAAATGGCATATGCCGCACGTTGGGTTGCGGCGGGGTTCATATGACGTAACATTCTAAACGCTCTTTGGTGGAGATGTGTGAGCGGCCGCCACCGGTTCCGGCAAGGGTACAGTGCCGGCCGGCCCATGCATGCAGAAGAAACACATTCACAAGAAACCGAGGCTCCGTTCCAATATGAAAAGAGTTGAGAAAAACTGCGCAAGTATGTGAGCCGCCGGCACCTCACAAAATCCTACCATATGGTAGCTTGGTAAAAAAACAGTTTCTCATGATTGTGCTGGTACTGGTGGTGTGTTGCGGGGCTTTGGGGCAGTGGGGAGGTGGGTAAGAGATGTGCTGTGGCCATTGTTGTTGTTGTTGTTGTTGTTGTTGTTGTTGTTGTTGTTGTCGTCGTCGTTGTTGTTGCTATCGTTGTCGATGTTACTCTCTCTAAACGATGTAGTAATAGTAGTTTCACGCTTGAATGTTTTCCAGTAACAATCAACGAAGCGCTGTGAGGTTGCCCGTGCGCGATGAAGTGAAAATCGCCAGCGTATGCACGCATGCTGTTCACGCTGTTCGAACCATTCATCATTTTTGCCGCACGCACCTTTGCTGCACGTTCTTGTTGAGGAATGGAAACGTGCATTTGCCTGAGGGTGATGAGCTGCTGGTAGATAGTACGTGCGCGCGGCCCAGACCAAGGTTGATAAGAAGGCCCGGTGTCATTACTTTCGGCCACGAGCAGATGAGGGGGCGGGAGGCGCTGGGGGTGGACTGCAGTATCCGAGGGTTGCCCGTTACGGGTAGAATCAAGATCGCCTTTGCTTGTTTCGCCCTTAAGCGCGGCGATTTGTCTCCGTGTTCTCACGGGCAAAACGACAGAGCCCGGGTTTGTGTGAGACTTAAGATCACGCAGACCTTTATTATTCGGGAAGTAAACCCGAGGCCCCACGCTGAGTGGCAAAGACCACGGGGTTCCGTATGTATTCTGGTTGTTGAAGCGGAGAGCAAGTACCGCGGCTGGGCGCCTCGAGCCGGCTTTCACCGTTGCTGTCGCAACGAAAATAAATCCCATACAAAAACAATGCGCCTGGTCTGTCGGACCTGTCCACTCACCGATCTGTGCGGAGTGACATCAACTATGGACTCAGATCCAAACATGTCCCCGCGCGGAATACCAAATATCGGGTAACGTACGGACCACTCCAAGTGGTATCAGACGTCGCGAAACCTCCAATCACGGTGGACCACAAAGCTAGATCAACAACATAGCGCGTGTGGTTAGAAGCAGCATTACATTAGATGTATTGGCTACGTCGTCCACATCGAGAGTGCGACAATGACTCATGCAAAATTCAGGAGCGTGGGCGAGTCCTATCACATCACTCAATACCCCCAAGAAAAACGCCAACTCAGAAACTCTATTTTTTTGCGTGCGCTCCATCTATCTACCCACCGCTGACGTTACTGCGGTGTACCAACCATGACACAAACAACCCCTTCCTACGAACAAAGGGCTGTTCCTGCTGAGTTTTGCGGTGCGGCACTTACCGCAGAGGTCAGCCCCGCTGCTGCTGTGAAACAAGCCGCACTGCAGGGTTAACCCCAACCGACTGTTCCATATGTTCCGTGCTTGTTGCACTCACTCCCCGAGAGACTGGATGCAGTTTAGGGGTTCGTGCGCGGCTCCATGCCATAACTACCGCCTTCTACGGAACCCCCACAAGCGTACGTTCACCTCCTCGACACAAATTTGCGAGCACTCGTACTTGAATCCTCCGCTGCGTTCGACGTGTTGGACGAGGGGTAAAGTTAGAGGCCCACATAACAGTATTTGATCGAAGAAAGTCGTCGAAAACAATAAAATTCGGTGCGTGGACTTAAATAAGAAAAACGATACACACCACCGACGTCTCCGACCCTCTAGGAGCCGCTGTTCCCCCAAGCCCACGCAGACGCGCATAGCATCCTATTGTAGCGTTCCTCCCCAAGGTGCATCCGTACCCAGGCAGACGCAATACACTCTAAACAGTGCCGAAGCATCCGCTGTAGGCTGGCTGGACTACAGCGGCAGCAGCAATAGCAGGACGCCTCTTGGAGCTTTCAGGGTCGAGGCACCACCACCAACGCTGCAGGGCGCGCTTCAACCATCATCTTGCGCTGGTTGTTGGACTAGCTTCTGGTCAACGAAAGCAATCGACTCGACTGCCTGACTAACCGCTGCTGCATCCGGGTTCAGCAGCACACACGGACGCGTGAAAATTGCGTGCTCGACGACAAGAACTGACGCACGGCGAATGTCAAACTTCGGCGCGCAACCAACAAGGCAGCACGCCTCTCTCCCTATTCCGTCCGAGCAAGGCACAGCTGACTACGCGACAGAAGCGCCCCGCCCAAAATGAACCCCGCTAACGTCACCCCAAGAGAACCACAAATACCTAACATTGCCCCTTGCTAAACAAACAACACACCTTCGACTACTACTTCAAAACATACGAGAGCCAAGACGAGAGGGAGAAAAAACTAAATGATGTGTGCTGCTAGATACTAAAAATCTACGGGATTTATTCGGAGGCCGCCCGCCGAAACGACGAGCCCTGCCTACTGCAGCACGGTCCTAACTCGAGAGGGGCTGCTGCTGCTGCTGCTGCTGCTGCTGCTGCCGTAACCCCTCCTTGCTCGCCGCCGCCGCCGTCGAGCGTTGGAGAATCTCTCTCACGACAGGGTCCATCTCCTCGGAGAGAATGGAATCCGGAAACGCCTATGGTAGGAGAAAGCGAAAGCACGCGGGGCGGCGTTGGGGGTGAGCGCGCTTTGAGCAGCCAAAAGACCACGAAAAAAGAGGGGGTACTGCCTTTCATTTCTTCTTCGTTTTTTTGCCCCTCTACCTTTGATGTAGCCCCGGGGTGTTCGATTTTCGGCAACTTTTTTGGGGCGCCCCACAAAGCGTTCGCGCACAAACCCACGGAAGGCATTCCATTGTGGCAGCATTTCCCGTGTGTGTGTGCCAGTTGCCCTGTTTGTTGTAGTTGGTCTTGGTGTCAGTGCTGTACAGCAGATTTCATCACAGCAGAAAAGAAACCCCGTGGCCTTTGGTTGGTGTTGGTGTCAGTGCTGTTCAGAAGCTTTCATCACAGCAGAAAAGAAACAACGCCCCCCGGGGCCTCTTCGCCCCGGGTTTTTACATATATTTTAGCGTGATCGCCCCTCTACCATTGAGATAGCCCCGGGGCGTATGACTTCACAAAAGTAAGATGATCGCCCCGGGAGGTTGTGACAGAGGATATTACAGTATTCTCTCTTTGTATCCATGTGTGCATTTTCTATGCATAAGAAAGGGCGAGGGGACAGGAGAAACACTACGGTGTGAGGTCCCTCATTAGTGCCGATGTGTGCCAGTCGGATTCACCGGTACTACACCGGGCACCCGGTACTACTCACAGAATAACCCTATTTGAAAATTCCATCCGTGTCACGCGATTTCACCGGCCGGCACTAGATATCTGTGTGACGACGGGTTGGAGTAAACAAATGCTGTGAGGGCTGATTTGAAGTGAAGACAATTAAAAAAAGAAAAAACGGGCACTGGACCTGCTCATCCGGCACTATTTAGGGATCTCCAACGTAGGCTGTCATAAGAGGTGCGAATCTGAACGACACAAGCTGCATCACATGCTTTTAGGCAAACCGGTTTGATATCATGATTCATTCCGACGATGACGATCACAACGCCCCCTTCCAAACACCGGTCTACTTGGAAACTACTATATATGCGCAGCGCGTGCAACCGCGTGACATATTAAAACACGCGCCTGGAAGGCCGTTCCACGACCGTCCACGCAAGCCGATGGCGACAGCGAACGGTTTGCACGCAGCGGTTTCTGTTTAATTCTGGTGACATCCCGCTTACACATCGATCGGCCCCATTACGGGAGGTGCGGAAAGAGACGCCTCGCTCGCCCCCCCCCCCCCCCCCCCCCCCCCCCCCCCCCCCCCCCCCCCCCCCCCCCCCCCCCCCCCCCCCCCCCCCCCCCCCCCCCCCCCCCCCCCCCCCCC